AGGTATTTAAAAGACGGGTAGACGTGGTGCTCGAGGACATGGTTTAGTGGTGGACTTGGCAGTGATAGGTTAACGGTTGGACTCTATGATCTTAAGGGTCTTTTCCAACCTTAACAATTCTATGATTCTATGATTCTATGACTATACATGTAATTAAATTTAAGGGAGTGAGTGTTTATAGAATGGCAGGATCCATACCAGAAATAATGAGCATCCCTGAAGACTCCCTTTAAAGCTGTGCAAGTTCTCAGGACCTACAAAGGCAGCAATTCACGGACCAGTGCTTGGATTTTGGATTCCCATCTTATCTACCAAGTCTAAAAACAGTGGCTGTAAACTACACCATCATAGACTTCCTTGGTTTGGCTGCTTATGTAACGTAAAGTTATCTTTAAAGACAAGAATTTCAAAGTTTTCTTGGTGGTGATTCCAGAATATGTCAAACATTGAGTATAAATTTCCCTGAGACCCAGGTAAGGGCTCAGTAAGGAACCGTGAGCCTTTCTTTTTCTTCTTGATAGAAAGAAAATAGTCTGAATAAATAACATTAACTGGATCCACATTTGTGGTAGGGCTGACACTGCGTCTCCTGTCTTGAAAACAGGTTCATATTAGTTTCCTCCATAATTCTGATGTAGTTTCTGCTTGTTTGATACGGTGAGGACAGGATCCAAAGGCCTCCAAAAGAAACAAGGATGTGAGGTACTTTGAAGAAAATGGAGCCTGCCTATATAGCCAGAAGTTAATTATTCATCAGGCTTACTGTTCTAGTGAAAAATACCGTGATTGTTGCCAGAAGTCCCTTTCCTACACTGTATTCCTACGCTGTTCTGCTGCAAAAGAGCAGGCAGACCTCACAGCGGAGTTTTACTGTGAGCAAACGCGAAGTTCAGTTCAAATATTGAAATAAAGGTAATAAAACATCCTCTGCAGAAATTAACTTTTTCCTGAACAACCAGCATAGCTCAGCTGCATGCACACATAATCGCGACTGCAAAGATAAAGGCAGAGAGGAGAGCCAGAAGTTGTGGCTTGAGTTGCACACAGCGTAGCTCATGCAATGACCTGGTGTCAGATTAAGCTAATGGCGGCATTTGACTCCTTTCTCTCTCAACCAATGTAAAATATGTTGGAGTAATGATGTATTTCATTGCCTCCTCTGAATTCTTACTTTGACATGCATTGCAGAAGCATTTAATGTGCTTTGTGGGTATAGTGTGGAAATTTGGCATTGGCTCTTCACTGGGAGAGGGTGCTGCTTTGAATTTCAACCTTTCATCTTTTGCTACGCATTTTGCTTCTGATAGTAGTCTGGCAGTGTCAAAGACAGGCTTGAGATACCGTTAGCAGAAAGTGAATGACACGAGATGATCAGCGTCATCTCAGCCATCACAATTTCCCTCCAGCCTTCTGCGTTTGGAAGAGGCACCCTGAATATGTATGGGTGCAGGAGTAACCAGAGACCTGCCTAAAGCTGTTGCTCACGAGACTTCTGGTTTGAATTTATGTGCCTAACTGAGGAATGGCAGGCACCACGGGGACACCCTGGAACCTGCCTTACTTAGAAAGAAATCTTAGGCTGGATGCCTAAGATGCAACAGTTTGCACTGCCAGTTTAAAACAGCTCCAAAGGAATTGTTTGATCCTATGTAATAACATGTGCAGAGTCTTCGGGACAGCACGGGACGCCTTAGCGCTTGCAGCCAAGATGGATTGTATTTTTCTTCAGATGCCTCTAATAGGAGAAAACCTGTGCTTCTGCTTTGCTGTCTTGCTACCGTTGCTCTTGCAGCTTCTCTTAGGAACCTATTGTGTCACTTTACTACTTTTAATTAAAAAAAAAGCCCCTGTTATAGTCTATCCTTTCTGTCTCTTGCCACAGTTTGAATTCCGTAATCATGATCATTCTTACTGAGGAGCGGGGTTAGTTTATCCAAATTATCTGACTAACTTCCCATTCTTTTTTATAGAGAATTGTTTCCCTTCGTCTTTCTTGCCTCTGAATGGATCATGCTCAGTTCACACAGGCTCTCTCTCCACTGTCCTGCTGTGACATTTGAATCTATTTTTCATTTTTCAAGAATCATAAGAATTAAGACACTGAAAATGTATATTTTCCTTGGGTAGCTGTGTAGATTCATTGAGTAGGTAGGCATGTCCTTTACATATGCCGACATCCAGTTGGCTAATGAAGCTTCCACTGGCTTGCTTGGGAGTTTGCTTCATGGTCCTAATGTATGTAACAGCTAGAATATTTTTCTTCTGTACTGATATTATACTTTTTTCCTTTCACTGAATTCTCCCTCCCTGTATTACAGTAAAAAATCTGCTCTTAGCCTGCTTGGTCAGTGTAGTTGAAGGTGCCTTTCAGTTCTCTGCAGTTGAATTCTCGTAGTCTTCAGCGGTCACCACCTCTAAGCCTCTTCATCAATGTCCTGTTCCCCCCCCCAAGCTGCCAGCGGTCTCTAAGCGATCTCTAATCAGATTGATTTCACTGATCGGAGAGAGTGGATACGCAGCCACAGACTTCGGGCAGTGGTTGCTTTGGTTCTTGCAACCAAGAATTACAAGAACAGAAGACTGTTTCCTGCAAAGATTTTAATGATAAAGAGGGAAGGGAAAAACACAAAGTGCAGCAATTTCTAAAAAAGCCTATATCTTTTTTTTTTTTTCTTTTTTTCTGGAGGTACCAATGTATATAAGGGTTTTTTCATATGGTACGGTTTTTTTTACATACTGGATTTTGATGGGAGGTTAGGCTTGGCTTCTTAAATGCTGAAAAGATGGATTGAGTAAAATCCAGGGAGCCATACACAGGTTGATATGCAATTGAAAATTTAAAGTTTTCCTCATAAGCATCAGTGTAAATCAGAAAGTTTTTTATCTGTTTAAAGATGTGGAGGAAAGACCAATTATGCCAGCTCCACAACTCATTAATGTAGCGATGTGGCAGTCACGCAAGACGGGTCCATGTATGCAATCTCTTTATACATGTTATAGTAACAAATGTTGCTTAACAAGTACAAACAATCCCAAGAACAAAGGCAGGACCCCATGTCTTCTTTCCCAACTAGTAGGCAACAGTCAGGTAACCCTCTTCTACCCAATTAAACCCAGTGTAATCTTCATTGGGTTCCTGTACAACTAAGGAGCTTCAGGAGGGGAGGTGGCACTTGGTCTCCTTATCTCTCTCCCATTAGCCTCTGGCCAACCGTTTGATGTTGTTAGATGGAAACATGGAAATCAACTTGTGTTTCCCACTTTCTAGGCGAATAGTCTTGGCGAGTAAGTTATTACAGCAACGGCCTTCCTAGGTCTTGGTCCAGCTATGTTCTCCAGCACCACGGTGGTCTGCACTGACTTTTGTGGGGAGCCTAACCCCGATCCACGTACCTTCGGGGTGCTCTGGCAGTACCTGTGGGGATGGAGGGATCCCCAGGGTGGGGCTTACCTCGTGTCACTTCACGTCAGGGTGAATCACTTTGATCTGCCTTTACAGCTCGTTCAAGAGGCACCTTGAGGGTGCGATGCAGCACGCGTATTTTGGAAGTGTGCTTTGTGTGTGTTTCTTGTGTGTTGACTGTAATGGGATCCTAGGCGATGAGCTCTGATGGTAGATACCTGCTTCCAATGAGAGAACCCCCAGTCCTTGAACAGACAAAAATCTGCTCAAGTCTTGTGAAAACCGTAGCACATGGTTGGAAATGTGAGTTAAAATTAAAGCTTTACATGTTTGGCAGATTTTGAAGTCAAACGGGGCTGGGTGCGGAGTTTTCCAGGGTGAAAGGCAGCTGAGCTATGGTTTCCAGCAGTTTAATTTGGGGGTTGGGTGCCTAAGTCCCACACCGGGTATGGAGAATGTTTGGGGGAATCTGATCCTTTTTTAGCAAGGGATGATAAATAAGAACTCCGCTTAGGGTGACGTGAACAGAAGATGAAAAAGAAACCTAGAAGTTAGAGCACTAGCGGGGCCATGAAGAGTCAGGTGCAAGCCCTGACGGTGTCCTACCTCTGAGCTCTGATGGCTCCATCTCTTTTGGGCAGTAAGTCCCTGAGTCAGAAATGACTTGAACCTGAGCGTCCATGGCATCTAGCACTGATATCCTAAGTGTAGCTTTTTCTCCCTGTATGACTTTTTTTTTTTTTAAAGTCTGCTTTACCTCTGGGTGGAATCTCAAGAAAACATGGAAAAGCGATTTTTTTGTTCTCCAGCCAGTATATGCCCCCTTGTGACCTATTATAGAAGTCACTATATCATTTTCTGGGTGTCCAGGCTCACTGGCAATTTTTGAGTGTTTCCACAGTATCATCTTTGTAAAGATGAGTTTCGTAGAACAGCTTACAGGTGTTTTCAGTTACGTGTTTCAGCCAATGTTAAATTAGGATCTGTTCACCTGGAATCAGCCGCACAGTCTTTCAGTTGTACAGGCAGGCCGTCAAGCAGAGGCTTTCATTCGACTGCCTCACCAGAGCTTACAATAAATAAACAAACTTACTACAAAAGTTTGAAGAGTAAAGCCACCTGACGGATAGCTGCGGCTGGATGGGGGACGGGGCCCGTGGTTTCAACACAGGATCCTAGTAGGCAGAAGGAGATAAAGGTTTCCTCAAGGAGGAACTGGAGCAGAGAAGAAGGAGCAGAAGACACTGTCCTAATAGTGAGGAATATGAGACTCTCGAGACTGTTGGGCCTGCGGTCTAATGCAGGTCATCCTGAAAGTGATGTGAAGAGCGGCACCTCAGGCGAAGAGCTGGGGAACGGAGCAGGCAAGTGGCAGCCGTGGCTTGCCGCTCGTCTCGAAGCTCCAGAGCTCAGGTTATGGGCGCTGAGCTCAAGCAGGGGGAGGAAAAGAATGTCTTCCCCATGCCCTTCTTTTCCATCATTTACTACTGTTGCTTTAGAAACTTGGACTTAACCTGTGTGTGATAACGCTCCTGCAGCACCGCCATCTCCTCTTGGAGTCACACTGGGCAGTTTCTGGCTGCAAACAAATGGTCCCTGCCCTGGGTGGCAGCGGGGACCGTTGCTGGCGACCTGGAGCTGTCCCCAGGGGCTCGGAGGGGAGCGGTGTCTTCCAGCCTGAATCCAGCCACAGGGACTCGAGAAGCAGAAAGTTGCCGGCACATGCATGTGTGCATGTGTACACACACGTACATCTGCGTATGCATGCGTGTATGTGCCTATGCATGTATCAGATACACCTGTATATGCATGTATTGCGTGTGTGTGTGTATACATATTGCACATGCATATTATATATACGTACAAAACCCTCATGTTTTAAGCAGGCTGGAGTGTGGATAGGGAGGGAGAGAGATCCTGAGGGCCAGAGGGGAGAGTTAAGGAGAGCTGTAGGCAGCAGCTCCAGTCGCCGGCTCAGTGAAAGCCCCAGTCCAGCTTGGGAGCCAGCGGGAGCAAAGCCAAAATGGTGCGAGGGGACAGGAGCTGTGCGCTGTAAACGGGGCAAAGAATCACCTAACCCCGCAGGCAAGCAATCCAGGAGGAGATGTGGAAAGCCAGGCACCCTGGCTGGCTGCGTGGGGAGATAAGCCTTGCCCAAGTGTGCCGCAGGGACAGGGTTTGCCTCCTGAGTAAGAGGGAAATGATGAAAAGAACACGGGTGAATGGCAGAGCTGCTGATTTTGCGATGAATAATGTCTATGTCAATGGAAAGGTATTCAGGAAAAAATAAAATTTCATTTTTTTATTCTGGAAAACTGTTCAATTCATGCTCCCTTTTGTTCAACCCATTTATTAACTTCCTGTAGGTATGAATTAGGAGCAGCTTTGTTCATTGGATGGGCTGGAGCTTCGCTCTGCATAATTGGTGGCAGTATATTCTGCTTCTCAATAGCTGAAAACAGCAATTCTCCAAGGTAAAATGCAAGTTGTACTTATGAAAGAAGTCAATGTACTTGCTATATGTATGTGGCTTGATTACTTTCCAAAACACTTTGTAGTGAGGTTCAGAAAAGGGTTGTGTGGATGAAAGAAAATAATGGGATTTAAGGATAAAGCTCTGTCCATCGTTAACGTAATTAAGAAAAGCTATTGACTCAGAACAAATACTTGTGTTACATATACTTGATAAATTTACTACAGCTGGAAAAAAAATGCATTCACTGATGTAGGAAAAGTGGTCAGGTCACCTTACAGATGTGAACAGCCAAGTTTGTTTAATGACAAATCATCAGATCAAAAGTGAGCGAGGTGAAGGACAGTGGTGGTGGCAGTGGGAGCTACAGCAGCAGAAGAGGGGCGGTAACGAAGAGGCCGAGCTGGAGGGAGGAACCGTTCACCCAGGATCTGCCACAGCCTAAACGTTTCACGATTGGGCCCTAGTTTACTTGGCTGTGAACGAGGGCTACGAGTTTATATAAAAGTGAATTGCAAAGAGAGATGCCGGAGGGGAAATGTCAAACTGGAATGAGACCACAGTGGCAAGGAAGGTGACCCCCTGCCCCTCCCCTGAAATTTATAGGTACATTCCTATGAATTTCTTCTGGTTTTATACTGCTGTAATGCTTGGACACAGAGACGTTACCTGTCTGTAGGATGAGCTGTAAATGGTCGATTCTCTTTTCTTTTCAGGAGGGCGTATGCATATAATGGAGCCACATCTGTGATGTCTTCTCGTACAAAGGTCCACAACAGTGTCCCAGACAAAACCCCACCAAAGCACTTTGACAAGAACGCTTATGTTTAATTGTACTGGTGGAAGATTCAAAGCGTTCTAAAAATGAGTTTGTATGTTTCATGCAGAGTGATTTACCCCCAACCCCAATGTAATTACCACTAAGACAATGAATTTTTAAAACATTAACTTGCAGCTTTTTACATATTGATGTAAATTTTATTATATAATATTTTAAGATTCATGTTGGTATTGTAAAGTTTATACCTGGAAATCATGAGCTGATGTTGCTTTCTTGAAAAAAATAAATGGGGTATTTACCAACTCGGTATGTCAGTTGCTTACGGGAACGGCATCACACACGTCATGCTGACTGCAGCGCATCATTGCAACCGTTTCTGAAATGGGTTCAGTACTGGACAAAACAGCCATCCTCCGTGCAGGTTAACACGTAAAACATCCCGCCGCTGATTAGCAGTGACGTTGGAATTGCAGGGCACATTGTAACTGCAGCGCCCGACAATGACAGTCGGCAGGAATCAGCAGGCTCTTAGCTCCTTATTGCATTGCCAGGGTGGATGAATGTGCAACTTGTTCAAGTTGGTGCCATAGGAATAAGAAGAGGAAGAGACCGGGTGAAGTATGAGATTTGGGGAGGCAGGATCACCTCCCCAGAGAAGAGTCAGGGCCAGTCGTTACAAAAACAGTCACTGCAGAGGGTCTTGCACGGCCCGAGATGAATGCGTGCATGAGAAGAAGAACGCGTGCGTGATCGTGAGCGTTCGTGGGCATGGCAGGGAGAGAAAAGGTCGGGGCTGCAGCCTTTGGGGAGCTTTGTGGTGGGCGAGGCAAGGCTTGGAGACGGTTCCCATGTTCTGCACTTGCACCGCGCTGCTGGGCTCCTGCCCTGCCTCAGCACTCACCCTTGCTGGTGACAAGTCACTTCCAGGGGCTTGTTTTTGTTCCCTCCCGCTGGGCAGGCTGCCCGGACACCTTCGGCTCCAGAATGGCTCCAAGCCACTGGGTTACGAAAGGCAGGGAAAAACCCCAGGCAGTACCAGCTGGCCTGCTCTGCCGATGACATTCCTGAAGGGCTGGCCAAATAAAAGCAGGCAGTACTTAACAGCACTTTTTAGATAATCCTGAATTAGTTACAACAGTTCAAAAATCGAGCTAGTACGTTTTTTTGGGGGGCCTGTCCATAGAAATGTGATGGCTTTTGAGGGAACATTTGTACAATGATCCGATAAGTGAGATTAGAGATTATGAATAACTACAAAACACTTTCTAGACTGGGACCCTAAAATTAGACACAAACTCAGGTCTGTCTCGAGGTTTGAACTGATGGACCCTTGGAGTTTCATTTTGGAACACGCGTGTAAATATAAAAAATGAATAGTCCTATTATTAATGGCACAGCATGGCAGAAAAGGTTTTGTATCGGATACCATCTAAAATACATCAAAACTACAAAGCCATTCAAGGTTCTTTTTATTTTACCTTATTTTTGTATTTTACTCAAGTCAAAACACTATTGTGTTTTTTTCAAGAAGGCAGCCGATATGGGCAAAACAGGAATAGGGAAGTACTTGTGCAATGGCAGGTCAGTACTTTCCTCACCTTAGCTTGATGTTTTAATTTCTTTTCCAATTTTTGTGCTTTTATGTTAACTAAGACTCAACCCTAATCGAAAAAAAAAAAGAGTAACTTCCCCAAATAGGAGGCATTTAGTAATAACCAGCTTTATAGCTGAGGCCTTTTTTTCCTTTTCATTTGGCGTTTATTGTAAACCATGTTAGAAACATAACATTTTACTATATGGAAATATTTTATTTAAAATGATTTTATAGAAAGTTTATGATAAAATACAAGAAAATGTGCATTTAAAAATTTTACAAAGTAATACTCTGGAGTAAATTCTGTTCATTGGTTAACAGGCTTTCTTGCAAGACCAGTTTCAATCTTTAATGTAAACATTAGAGGCAAAATCTTCACCCCAGTGAAATCAAAGAGACTTTCACCATTGAGGTCACAAGAAAGAAGCATTAACTCTCAATTTCCAGATAGACATGGCCAGTAATGTGTGTGTGAATATTCTTGTTTCAGATTCAGGACTGAAAGACACAAGAGTATTCCTTGTTATTACATGACCAATATGGGAAATGAATAGGAAACACTTGATGTTTTCAACTACAACCCCAACGGAAGCCAAGAGCAGTGCCTCCCATCAGGAATGCAACAGTTATATATCTGAAGAATCACTCCAATCTGTTACAGTGACTAAGCTGCTTTTTAACGTGCTCGTATTATCAGCTTCATGAAGGCCTGTTAAAATAACAAAAAAATTTTAACAATTATTAATAATATTTTGGGGGTATTTTTACTCTGTATTTATCTATGAGATAAAATCACATGCTATGTGAGCAAACACCTGTGGACTTCAGGAAGTCCAGAACCGGTGAGGAAATTACAAGCGTTGATAATATGAAGGCTGTTTCTGTCACAGAATACAATGCACAGTACAAGCAGTCAGTGTCAACATTACTTTCCCTTTAAACATAACCTGAAGTATCTTTATATAACTGACACAGCTTTAACCTTTAAGTATATTAAAATGTTAGGGCTCCAAACTACTACATAAGTTCTATGTAAGATTGAAGCTAGCACTTTACCAGCAGCTCAAATATTTATCTCAGCCTGGTAGGTCACTTAGATATCTTGAACAAACGTGAAATTTGATTCTTATTTTCAAGACAAAGTAAGAAAATTTCCCTCCTCCCTTACATTTGGGAAACGATTAAAAAAAAATCCTGGATGATTAATTTTTAAGACAAGGTTGAAGCCTGATAGTACTACATGTTTTAAAATCACAAATTTAAGTTTCTTGGCGTCTCTGTGTATTTATGTGTATGTGTTGTTTACTTCTAAGTATGTATCATAAATATCATATGATATTTATATGACATAAAACCAAGCACACAGCTTTTCTTACTTGTTCTTTTCTTCTAAAATACCATACATTGAATTACAACGTGTAATACAGTATACTTACGTTCTCCTCTAGGTGTGTTAGGCGCTTAAGGCTTATAATGTAGAAGTATGAATACGTTACCTTCCTCCTTTGGTACGCTTGTCTTCGGAAGACCCCATGCATGTACCACAGATGCAGCATTTGACTCATTTTTCTGAACTGTCAATGCCTTCTGGCCTCTATCACTTTTCATTAATAAAAAGTCTTCTTCTACTGATGATATATCCCAATCATCTTCATCAACTTCTGTGAACTAATAGGGAGAAGAATAAACACGCATTTTTCCTCTGTCTGTTCAAGTTGTGCTGAGATCTTCCGTAAACTCAACAATGTGAAACTGCTAAGGAAAAATGCACTGGTACATGGCCTTTATGACATCTATCACCACAGTTTTAAAATCCACATCATTCAATTACCTAAATTATATTAATTCACTATTAATAGTTCTAAAGCTAGAAGTGGTTGGTTTTCTTTTTCTTTTAAGTCAGGAACTGCAAAAGGTAAAAGCTCTGCCAGTTTCATAACTGGCAGAAACCTATGTTTTCAGGTATTTGACATGTCTAACTTAAAAAAGGATCATCTTTTCTGGGACATTAGCTATTCCAATGAGACGGAAAGTCCTTTAAGCATTAGAATGTATATTACTGACATGAAAATAAAGACATGACATGTTATCATGCAAGCTGGCAGTTTAGTTTGCTACATAAACATTCTGTGTTCACACTAGAAAAATTTAATATTGCAGTAAAGGACTTCTCCATTTAAAACTGATTTATTCAAAGAGAAAATTAAATAATGAAAGTTAAAAAAACACATGGTGCTCCAAGTTAAAATATGTATTCCTCTTAAGACTCACTGTCAGCATGTACAAATATATTTTTATTTAAGTGGTGGATTTGCATAATGGGTTCACAAAATGAGAGTCAAGTCAAACAGATGAACCTGAAGGCAACAAGTCCACGGCCTTTCTTATCTCATCTGCCTGAGAACTAAATATCTTCATTCAGCTTTTGAAAGAAGAGCTACAGCGTTTCCCTGTTTGTCCCTCAAACGTGGTTGAATGGAATCATGATGTGGTTCAGTAGAATCGAACCGTTATTAGACAGCTTAACTGTGGAAAGCAAGAGGTGGTTTCTCACAAAGCTAAAACCTTATTTCACTGGAATGCCTCAATATTACAGTAAGATACAGAAGGTGTTTCTACTGCACAGAAGAAAGATTCAGATGCTATGAGAAAACAATGTCAGGTATGTACGTACTAGAGAAAAATCAACAAATACTAACGTGTCGTGTGTCTCGAAAGAAGGGAAGAGACTGCAGCAATGCTCTATCTTGCAACACAATTCAATTTTAACACTGTAAACTGTTTTTCAAAAACTGACAGATCTGCTCGGTGTGCTGTATTATTAACATACCAGGATTCAACATTTTGCTGTTTCAAATTATCTGCATTTGGAGGGCGTGGTAATGGGAAAGTCAGAGTCACGTACGTTGAGAAATACTGGAGGAAGAGTTTCCTCAAACATTCACTAAGTCCCAACTGATTTTTGAAGTACAAAATACAGAGAAAAATGTCAACTTCAAACAGAATTCAGTTTTGATCAAGTGTAAATACAGAGCACCAATCAAAACTGCTAAGCGGTTTTACTAACTCAAAGACTTACTCCAAAGAAATACCGTAATCCATACAATGTCTGGTACAGGTGAACTCAGGTAATAGAGCTTCAGGTAAGCAGAAAATTAATTTTCTCTAAAACGTTTCTGAAGAAACTTCTGTAAAACATGACCTTTATAAAACATATGACAATGGGATGCTTTACAATGTTTTTATGGTATTGTGGGTTTTGAGAACAACTATTAGCAGCTCTAAGTATTTAAGCTAATAAAAAAAAATTGGATTTTCAGAGAAACCATCATTCCAATGGCATTTTGTGCTTATGTCTTTGGGCATGTTTGAAAAATCCACCTAAAATGTAAAGAATTAACTTTAACTATATGCCTACATTTAAACATACAAATATGGACATGAATATATGCACATTCATATATAATTAGCAAGAATACAAGATGGTGTGGTGTTCTGTAAAGATTCCAGAAACAAAGTAGCAACACCTGCCCTGTGTTCATAAACTCATTTCAAACTCATCATGTCCATACAGCAACATGCCACTGGGTTAAGACATCAGGGACACACCATATTGTAAATGAAGTATAGCAAAAATATTTTTTGTGGAACCATGGAATGGTTTGGGTTGGAAGGCACCTTTAACGGTCATCTAGTCCAATCCCTCTGCCATGTGCAGGAACATCTTTCACTAGACCAGGTTGCTCAAAGCCCTGTCCAACCTGACCTTGAACACTTCCAATGACAGGTCACTCGCAACTTCTCTGGGCAACCTGTTCCAGTGTCTCACCACCCTCATCATAAAAAATTTCCTCCTTATATCCAGTCTAAACCTACTCTCAATTTAAAACCATTGCCCCTTGTCCTGTCACTACGGGCCTTGGTAAAAAAGTCTTTCCCCATCTTCCTTATAAGCCCACTTCGTATTTTGAAATGCCACAATTGGGTCTTCCTAGAGCCCTCTCTCCTCCAGGCTGAACAATCCCAACTCTCTCAGCCTGCCCTCACAGGAGAGGTGTTCCAGCCCTCTGATCACTTTTGTGCCCCTCCTCTGGACCTGCTCCAACAGGTCCATGTCTGTCTTGTACTGGGGGCCCCAGCGCTGGACACAGCACTCCAGGCGGGGTCTCACCAGAGCAGGGTGGAGGAGCAGAATCACCTCCCTCGACCTGCTGGCCACGCTGCTTTTGATGCGGTTTGGGATATGATTGTCTTTCTGGGCTGCAAGCGCACATTGCTGGCTTATGTCCAATTTTTCATCCACCAGTATCCCCAAGTCCTTCTCCACAGGGCTGCTCTCAATCCATTCATCCCCCAGTCTGTATTGATACTGGGGGCTGCTCCGACCCAGGTGCAGGACCTTGCACTTGGCCTTGCTGGAACTTCATGAGGTTCACCTGGGCCCACTCCTCAAGCCTGTCCAGGGCCCTCTGGATGGCATCCCGTCCCTCTAGTGAATCAGCTGCGCCACTCAGCTTGGTGTCATCTGCAAACTTGCTGAGGGTGCACTCAGTCCCACTATGTCACTAATAAAGGCACTGAACAGTACTGGTCCCAGTACAGACCCTTGAGGGACACCACTCATTCCTGATTTCCACTTGGACGCTGAGCCATTGAGTGTAACTCCTTGGATGCGGCCATCCAGCCAGTTCCTTATCTGTCTAACAGTCCATCCATCAAACCCACGTCTCCAATTTAGAGGTAAGAATGTTGTGGGGAACAGTATCAAATGCCTTAGAGAGTCCAGGTAGATGACATATGTAGCTCTTCCCTTGTCCACTGATGCAGTCACTCCATCATAGAAGGCCACCGGATTAGTCAGGCATGATTTTCCCATGGTGAAGCCATGTTGGCTGTCTCTAATCACCTCCCTGTCTTCCATATGTTTCAACATATCTTCCATGAGGAACTGTTCCATGATCTTACCGGGCACAGAGGTGAGGCTGACTGGTCGGGAGTTCCCAGGTGCCTGCTTGTTCCGGCACAGAGGTGAGGCTGACTGGTCGGTAGTTCCCAGGGTCCTCCTTTTTACCGTTTTTAAAAAATGGGTGCAATGTTTCCCTTTTTCCAGTCACCAGGGACTTCACCTGACTGCCAGGACTTTTCAAATATGATGGAGAGTGGCTTGGCAACTACATCAGCCAATTTCCTCAGGACCCTGGGTGGCATCTCGTCAGGTCCCACGGACTTATGTATGTTCAGGTTCCTCTGGTGGTCTCGAACCTGATCTTCTCACACGATGGGAGGCACTTCATTCTCCCAGTCCCTGCCTTGAGGTTCAGGGGCTTGAGAGATGTGGGAAGAGAAGTTACCACTGAAAACTAAGACATCTTTAAAACATAGATTTTAAGGCTTATTTTTCTACAACTTTTTGCTCTTGAAGCCGAAATTCCTTAACACAATGGCCAACTGTCTATAGATCTTTACAAAATGTAACATTCCCTAAATTTAACTGTGAACATTTTACAGTCTTGTATCATCTGACACTGCAGAGAATTTGAAAGTAACATTTGGACAGAAAATTATACTGTAATAGTCATGTCTGAGTTGATAATTTTGAGTCTAGTGTGATTTGCAGATCCCACACAGTCAATGGACAAGTTAGGTGTCACCAGTGGCAATTAAAAGCACACAGGCTAAATGTGATTACCCTACCATTACAGCTAAAGTTGATTACGACAATCTCCCCTTTCTGGAAACTGAAATAGAAGTGTCACTGTTTCTGGGAGGAGTGATAAATTTCAGATATAACTGTTAGTCAGGAAGCCCTCAGGTATCAGTTTTATTATGGATAACAGGATTTTCAGTAATCATTATTTGTGTATTTAGTGAAAAAACATTTTCTTGAATGCTAGAACTAGTATCCAGCTGTCTACTTCAATCTAATAACAACTATTAAAACTGAAATAAATAGCACTATCTGCTGTTGACTTCTGATTTGGAGTAACTTTTGTTCTTTTTAATAGATTGTTCAGGCAAAGATTGATTTGCATCACAGTGGCTTACCAATTATAAAACTCTAAACTGAGGGGAAGACTGGGACCTTAGGAGCCTGGGGCGTAAAGAATAAATTGTGTTAGTATTCTGATTGTGAACACACGCCATACTCAATGGATAGACATCAGTGATGTATCTGATGTAGTCTGAAAACAGCATATGATTGTAAACAGATGGAGCAGAACAAAGACCATACTCAGAAAAGGAATTTGTCCCCTCATTAAAATGTATTTAGAAGTTCCATATCTGATAAAGCTCTAGAAATAAAAATATTTTAAAATATTAGGTAAGCAAATTCATTTTTTCCTCCATCAAAACAAGACACTAGGAAAGCAAGTAAAGAAGGGCTCTCTCTATGCCACTAGAATAGGAGATAAAAACTAAACCAATTGTGCCCAAACTTCAGGCTAGCTGCAGTGATCCAAAACAGTCATGGTATAAGCTAATAAGCAGCGTGGATGAAAAGAGGTCACTTGCCACAGCTCACTTGCTAGCACTTTTCTGTACACCAGTGCAGACGTACCCAAAAAGACTACTTAGCTGTAATTCCAAAAGTGTCTTTGAGAATTAAGTTCTTCACTGCATCAAGATGGTTCCAGCATGAAATAAAAAAAAAGTAACAGATGTATATCTAGTTCAATTACTTAATGAAATAATAATGACTATTAAAAGTGATACCTTCAGTTCTTGCACCTCTTCTTTCTTAATAAATGCCTGCGCAACATTAATCCCTCCAGCTGGTTTGTTCTTATTTCCATGGTTAGAAAGACTCTTTCCAACTTGTTCGGTCAGTTTTTGAATAACTGCTCCTGAAGTTCATAAAAAAATTACATTGACAAGTTCCATTCACAAGTAAGGGGCTTTACTGTAAACCCTCTAGAAATCTTCCACAATGTAAAAATAAGTAAAAGGCTGAGAAAAAAGGTTTTAGACAGAAGTCTCTCTGAGGCACAGATTGTCTCTTTTTCTGCATTTATATAAACCAGCGTGATATACATCTAATTTGAACTGACATCTCTAAGTACTATATTCATATAAACATATTAGCAAAAACATAAAGTGCACACAAATATACATACACTCAAGACTAGATAGTCTGCCTTCATTATGTTTTCTAACAGACAAATATTATCAGGAAATGCAAAATCATGCACAGCCATTACAACATGCATATACAAAAGCAGTGAAAAAACCTTTTGAAGTTTTCACAGGTGTTCCAGTTTCTTCAATTTCACTTCCCTCTGTCCCATCGATATCGCTTTTGCCAGAAGCCTTCTGAAAAGCACTGACTTTGCTGCTTGATGCTTTTGACTGCTTTTGCAATAACTCTGGTGATATGTAAGACTGCTTAATATCATATTCATCTACTTCTTCCTCTGAACTGAATGGTGGAGTTCTATGCAAAAACACATACAACCCAAGGGCTTACTGGGTTTCAGTGACTGCATTGATATATACATATTTAGGCTTCCTTGTATTTTCCTTCCCAGTAACATGCATTTTTCTTACGTGAAAAAACCAGCAACTTCCATAAATTCTAACTATCCATAAAACTATTTAAAAGAAATCATGCTGCTAAGTAAACTCAGAAAGTTAACACAAAATGATCTTTTATATAGACATGATTATTTCTATCTATGCAACTATCTTTATGAAACAACAGACTGACATATAACAAGTCTTGCCAGGGAAGCAAAGATAGGCTTTCATGGATCAGCAGGGAAAGAAAAATTCACGGTCAAGGAGTCTGCACCACAGAGACTGTTCTGATATTCTCTTAGATGAAAATAATTTAGGAATTTTTCAGTGCAAGAAATTACAAAATAATGTACCTGATGTGAGTGAAATCTGGAATATTGTGTTTAATTTTGGTCATAGCAAGAAAATATCAATAAACTGAAAAAATAAGGTCACCAAAGTCTTTAAATGCTTTTAACTGGCTCAGAAAAAGCATCTGAGAAAAAAACTAAAGGAAATGATATTACTCAATTTTACTGAATGTCCCTCTCTAGTTCACAATAAAGAATACATCTGCCGAAAGGGGAACATGATGTCCTTCAGGGATTATAACAGACTCAAATGGAAAAATACTTTAAAACAAAATATGAAACATGCAGTCCAGAAAGTGTTTATAATTTCAGCTTAATAATAGCTTTTGTGTGGCAAGCATGTGAATATTCAGTCACCAAAAATGTTTTCTTCAAAAATACAAAGGAACAAAACATACGTGATACTAGATGTCTTTCTGGAAACTCCATTTCCAAAAATCTTCCTGGATCTAAAATTAACAAGACAAGATTTCAAGACTGACAGTCAACTAAGTAAGCATGAAGTTTATATAGAAGTAATGTGAATTCTTTGCTCAATTCTTACAATATTAACAGGAAACGTTCACATCAGCACAGAAACCCAAACCCATAGGATTGTTACCCGGGGTATACGTACTATAAGAATAGCATCTCTTACTTTGGCGTGGATGTATTCTCAGCGATGGCTGGTCTTTGTTCAGCTGGGCGGACAGCTGTTGAAGACCGTTTTACTGGTTTTTGTGGTGTGGCAGATGAGGAAATTCCCAATTGACTGAACTTCTGTTTATCTACAAGAGAAGTTATCTCATTATTAGAAACAATGTTCAGAATCTTTTATATTTAATTTCTAAAATTAAAGATGTCTCTGCTGCAGGTTATAGTTTTACAAAAAAAGAAGAAAAAAAAATTTTTTTCTTCAAAGCAGTTCAGAGTTACTATGCATCTTGCCAATATAGGAGCTAAGATTTCTGCAGTTAAACACAATGTCAAGAACCCTTTAAAGAAAACTGTTTAGTTGGCCATAACTATACAGAATATTTATATGAAAAAATATGAAAGCAGCTATACAGAAATGTTGCTAAATAAAACTTTAAATAGCAGTTATAAAGTGTAAGAGAATGAAAAAAAAACCAAAACATTTTAACCTTCTGAAGGAAGTTGAGGACAGGAAACAGGTCTATTACAAGATGATGATTTCTCTTCAACCCTAAAGCTAACTTGGCGTTCAAGATGCTCTCGAATTCGCTGAATGTCAGGCTCTTGCTTCTGTTTGCATTCTCTAGCAGATTGAATAGCACGCAAAATTTTATTTAAGCGCTCATTTGGGATACCGCGAACACCCTAAGGAAACAAATTGTATTGTAAACACAGGGGCTATTATTTCTGGGACTCCTATCCTACAATCATATACACTCTTTTAAACTTCAAATATCACAAAGCTTGTAGAAAAAAAATCACAAAAGTTGGTAACACTGCTCACAGGTGTAGCCTCATCTTCCACAGCTGTAACTGGATGGACATCCTCTCAGCTTAATGAATTACACTTATTCACAACATGTGGAAATTTAGCTTTGGATTTTACAGGTTGAGGGTTGTGGTACAGGAGCAAAAGAGAATAGCAAAAAAGTAGGACAGAGATTACCCCTCTTTTAAATAACTCAAAATAATCTTACTGCTTTAATTCCCAAGGATTCCAGCTTCTCCTCCAGGGCTTGCTCCAAAACAACTCGTAATTCTTTAGTTAAAGAAGGATCAGTCTTCAAAGCATTTATTAAATAGTGGTTACTTCTACCTGTTTTATGATCACCTTTCTCAATTTCTGAAATAAGAATGGAAAAATGCATTTAAGAGACATCTGAAACATCCACAGTACATGAGACAACTAAAACTGCACTGGAGCATGCATTTTTCAGAAACACCATAGACATACATTTGCTCTTTTTGTCTACGTGGTGTTGTACTCTTTTTAAAATCTTGGGCTAGCTTTCAAAAGTCAACTCACTTGGAATCTATACCTCAGCACTTCATACTCACCATCACAAATATCTTTTCTTTTTCACATTACAGAAACACTGTAAAGATATATGCCCAAATATTTAGCAACAAAGATCTTTACTTTTAGAACTGTACTTGGAAACTTCTGACAAAGAAAGACTATCTTCTGATAATTAAGTTCTCTAAAAGTGGTATTTCAAATCAAAGCTGAACTCTAGCAGGAATTAGAACAAGAATATGACAAACTTGCTCTCAAGAAAAGCTTCAGACAACATAATGTTCTCTGATAAAAAACACCTACTGAAATCAAATCTTTGCAAAGTTGTAACACTTTCAAAAGTCTTAGTAAAGACAAAACCTTAGTCTGAGGCAGACCATTTCACAGAAAATACATGATGGATAATACTTATCTTCAAAACTCTTTCAAGAACAAAGTTCAGTGTCGTCTTTTTTTCTACGCAGGTCTATGACATTGTACATACTTAAAAGAAGACAAAGAAGTTTCTTGCT